GAGAAGTAAAGACCCTCATGATTCACGCGTGAGATGTTACCGAGCTGTCATTATCGTTCGCGTGAAGGAATAAAGATGCGTACATAAGTAACAATTAACAATAAGTAACGATTAATATGATCCATCGAAAAATATACGTACGTATTCGCAGCAACCAAGAGGAGGGGGAGTCCAGGACCTAGGACTCCTCGTCACGAGCTCGGATCTGTTCTCCTCTTCTTTCGCGACGACCAGGGCGTGAACGTGATCACAGGTTTCCTTTATCGGCGATCGTATCTCGCGTTATCTCCGCACCACACCCTCGCGAAACGAAGTCACGGCTCTCGGCCGCGCCGTATCAAGCGGCTCAGCGCGCGCCGAACCTGAAGACAACGCGATTAAAATTCGATCCAAGTACCCGATCGAGTACAGGCCCGAGTCTGTTCGGACACCCGCGAGTACTACCAACAACCGACAATGAATAATGCCGAGTATTATGCCGTGGATATACCGAGCTGCGCGCGTATCCGGTATCTCCGGTACCTCCTCCCGTGCCGGTGAGAGCTGCGAGCGCGGACAAGCGCGGGTCGGTTTGGTCGGGCGGGGTAGAAGGTAGGAGTAACAGAGCGAATGCGTCAAGTGTGCATGACGCGTTCAGACGCGTTCACCGCGGGTATCGAGACTAGACCTTGTCGTTTGGATTTTAAGGAATGATCATTTTCAGGTCTCCCGCGCGCGGGACATCACGCGAGGAATTCCAATTAATTCGCTCGATCGTTTTATACCTCCTCGTCGCTTTATCCTCATGTTCATTTTTATTAATTTTAATTTTCGGCTTAACTTACTCTTATCTTTCTTAATTTTTAGGAATTAGAAGCCAAATTAAACCAAAAGTAAAATTAATAGACACTGAAATGATAAATAAAGAAAAATGGATACTATATATAGACCCGATTTATCTCGGGGAAAATCTCTTTAGACATCGCTCATTTGCGACATGTATATAATAGAACTCCCCACAAGAAAAGAAAAAAAGAAACAGTTTTCTAAAGAATGTTTGGAATCGTTAAAATCTCATTTTATTATTTTTAAATACGTTTTTGATGTAATAACTGAGAGAAATAAAAGTAGAGGAATAAAGGTATCATTAGCTCTTACTCAACGTATTGAATTTCTATTCATAAAAATAAAACCTTTTTCACTTATAACATTTTTGATTTCGACAAAATTTTCTTTTCAATTAATAAAAATACCAGTGCTTATTATTGACCATTTCTATTTTTTAAATTAATATCTTTTTTTCTGTATTAAAGATACGATTTTGGAATTTGTTGAACTTTTCATCAATTACTTTCATTATTCTAATGAACGTTAAAATTAGAAAGTTTTATATATTATCTTTGATATTAAGAAAAAATATCAATTTAAAAAAAAATAGACAGTCAAAAACTCCAAAGATCTATTTTTTTTACAAGAAGTAAAAAATAAATTTCTTAATTATGTCGTTGTTGACATAATATATCGCTCATTTGTATTCAAATGAGCGATATATTTTGTTGTACCATTTACATGGGACATACTGTTCCAAAATATAAATTTCTAAATTTACGTTTATTTCTATTAAAGTAAATTAACTTTAATCTCGGTTTAATTTATTCTTTATTGTTTTGTTGTCTAATTATTTTAAAATTAAAAACAAGATAAATTAAACCAACATTAGTTAGTACAGTTAATCTATATTGATAGTAATGAATATTAATAAAAATAAAACCCGGGATCGAAGGGATTGGGATTACATCAAACACTATCAAGTTGTTTAAAATTAGCTGAAACTTGCGATAATATTTCCGTGACAAATGATTCATACGCATTTTTCTGTGTTCGGTCATAATTTCTATATGTTCCAAGCTTGATTTGATGAAAAACGTTCACTGTATATGAACAAAGTTTAAAAATATATTAAGCGTAAGAAACCGCAACCGCATACCGCGAGACAGTAAATAATTTATTGTTCATTTATCATTTCTGAGATGGCATCTAATAAAAAAAGAGAAAAGATTTCTTATTTATACTATATTAGTTGAGTAAAATATCATCGATGTATTCCAAGTATTTCATTTGAATTTTCCTCATTTCTGGGATTACCAGAATGAATCACGACTATCACGATTTTCCATTACTATTATATTTAAAATTACAAATCTCTCAAATCAAACATTATCTTTCGTCCAAGCGAATTATGAAGAATCGATCGCAATTAAAATTAATTGAAAAAAAAAAAAACGATATTACGTAATAAAAAGATCATCGAGAATAAGTTCCGTTGAAAAATTTGAATTAACACAAATTTGGCGATTATCAAATCGTACATAATCGTAATGTACTCAAGTTAATTCCGTTAATACCGTTTTATTAATATGGATAGAATAAGTAATTTCTTATTGTTTATTCACAACCGAAAAAAGAATAGACATTAGAGGTAATTAGAGATGGTTATTAGATTACGCTGTAAGCAATTTAATCGACTTTGATCGATGTTACTAAAATCGATTAAAAAATCAGCTGGAGTTTTATTAAAATCGTCATAATCGTCTTTCCTCATACTTCTCAAGGAAATGATCATTAATATTTACGGATTACATAAAATCGACTTGTCGAGAGCCGCTTACCATTTGTTTCTCTCTCGTGCGAGACTGCCTTTGCTTACACTGTGCCAAATTTAAAAGTCAGGAATTGCATAAGTGTTTCACTTGCGGTCATTTGCATTTTGCATTTAATTTTCTCGTGAAAACAATCGATCGACACTCGTCTTGTACTATTATTATCTCTCGTACTATTATTATGTTTCATCTCGACTTGGATACACTGTATTTTCTAATCACTTAATAATTAGATTTGAATAGGATCGATATTATAAATTTTTTCTCATCTTTTTACCCGAAAGCAAAGAAGTAGACTAATAAGATGTGTTACAAATGTGTATATTTACGATATGTGCACGAGTTGTATGTCTTATCATTATTATTACTATTATTATCACAATTAATTTTATTTTATCACAACTAAAACTTTACTTTATACCCGTAAAAATTCGCTCTTTTGTCGATTAATTGTGTCATAATTCCATGTTATATCTCTGTATGTGACAGGACAGCCAATCGATTGAAACTATATCTCGGAATTATTTATCTTTACGTGATAACTGTTAGTTTTATCGCAACTTTTTTATGGATCATTTTAATTTCGGCATGAAATAGTATGAGAGAGAAATCTGGAAAAATCAATCTGCTTGTTTCCAGTATCTAATCGTGGATCATTAAAATAGATGTCAAGTTAGATACCAAGTTACGTGGCAATTGTCAAGCAAGGCACTATCCTTTCGTGCTATCGGGCGCAACATTTTTTCTTTTCGAAGGACAACGTTTCTCTGAAAAGAGCATCTCGATTTTATTCTTATCTACAGTTACGAATTACAGTTGTTATTTTGGCTTATGGGTACTTAAGATGGAGGAAATTATTCTACTCTACGCTCTTATTTTACCGCTCGCGATAAAATTCTCGGACAAAACGTGTATCTCAAGGAGCGTGTCTTTTCTAAGATATTTTATAATATTTTGCTCATACCGTAAACTCCGAGAGACAAAAAGCGATAAATTTCTTGTTTTTGAACTACTTACTTGAAATACTTGAGTAGAGTAGTTATGATTTGTTCACTCTTTCTCTTCACTTTGTTCCTTATTGTACGTGGATATTTTAAAACATTTAGATTTCCGCAGTTTAAAATCCAAAAGAATTGTAATTCTCGAAATTTTACAGGGCGCAATCTCCTTGCCATTAAGTTTTTCTGATACTTTGTCAAAGTTGTTCTAAGTTTTTGATTGTTTTGCGACTTGTATAAAAATCTGAATTCTCAGAATCGCGATACTTGGAAACTTGAAATATATATTATATATAATAATATATTCTTGGATTTTTGCTTATAGTGCAATTTACGCACTTGCGCAGTTCTCCTTGTCAATTATGTTCTCCTGTTATTTTATTGATTTTCGAAGTTTTTGATCTTTATACCATGAGATTCTATAAATTGTCAAAATAACTTGGCCCGGAAAATTTGGAAATTTGTTGGAATTTTACATAGTGTCATCTCTTCTTTCAGATTATGTTTATCCCATCCCTTATTGATTTTTATTTTTGCGTTGACATCTGCGAATTGAAAATTCTATGAATTGCAATTCTTGGAAATTTTCGTTAGTTTAACGCAAATAAATATCTAACATTATACATTATAAATTATGCATATATTTCCTTTTTTTAGATAATTCTAATAAGTAATCATATCGTATTCGTTATACATACACATTTGTATCCTTTCTTTGCAAGATAATTATTTATGATAAGATACGTCTTGCACATATATATTCTCACTTTCTATTGGTATATTAATATAAAATTAAATATTTTTCTCTTGTGAGTAAGTTATATAATTGCATAATTGGTGCTGGCGTAATCACAATATTAATCTAATTTCTATTTTCCCTTCTAATCCTTGATATTATATTTATATAATCGCGCTGCTGGGGCTACATTCAACTGCTGATCGCGATTGTGTCAAATGTCGTGAAATCTGCAACTACGAAATTACGGCGTGTGCGAATCATAAGATAACAATTTTTGCGGAAACGCTCGAATAGTCGTAGAAAAATATGGAAACGAAGGACGGTGCATATTCCGCGCAATTTAACGCTTCACTCGTCCGCATGCTGATAAACCCGGGGATGTCCCAGGATCATGGTCTCTTTTCATAAACCAAGCCACGTATACGCAGACTTGTCGCTTCTCATTCCATTCTAGAAAAATATCTCTCTTTTGTTGTGTCAACGTCACTCGCGCTCAGTGACGTAGCTGTAGACGTTCGGACCTCTTCGTTATGCGTAAACATTTTTCGAAATATAACAGAATGTTCAGACACAACATTATGTATTAAATATTAGATAACTGTGAATGTGTTATATCACGTACGCAAATAAACCACATTGTGTAAATTATTTTATTTATTAATTTATAATTTAATCGTTTAATCGTTTAATTAAAGTCTGCACTTTGCATGTGCATTTTTATCAATGTAAATTAACTTTAATTTCGTCTTAATTTACTCTTTATTTCCTTCCGATCTTCAAAACTAAAAAGAAGATAGAAAGTAAGTTAAACAAAAGTTAAAATTAATCCACATCATCTGACCGTGTAAATTGTTTCATTAAAAGTCTTCCATGCGCATTTTTCTAATTTTTACTAACTATTAAAAAAAAGAAGGATAAGGAAAAGAATAAAAAAAAAGAGTTGAACTAAAATTAAAATTTAGTCTCTATATTAGTGGAAATGAACATCAAAGTTACTCTTTTAACATTCAATCAAATTCTGATTTTGAATTTGATCGACATTAAACCAGTTCGTAATAACGATCGCTGCCCGTTCTACGCTTGCTTTCTATACGTCCCTGGTAGATCCCCTCTACTCGTGGAAATACTCGGCCAAGTTTGCAGCGTTCGATCGTACATTGAATACTGTACGCGCACGGCATACAGCACGCGACACTCGACACAATTGGAGCTGAGAGCTGGGAGCTGATCAGTGCGCGACAGTGCGCGGCAGTGCGTGTTAAACCGTTGGCGAATGGTCGGCGAACAATCGTTCGCTGTATTCGTTTGATGATTTCGCAACGCGTACGCGGTATCGATGACATTAGACTGGACGTGATCTTCGGCTTTCCCCGGTCTTCCAAGTGATCGTTTGTGACTCACGCGTTTCCTTTTTCTCGAGGTGAGTCGAACCTCCGTTTTCCCCCATTTATTTTTTTTTCTTTTTTTTTTTTTTGTCGGACTTGCAATTTTTGAGAAACGCTGACTCGCTCGGCTCCCGAGTCTGCGTCCCTCGCGATTTTTCCTTCTTCGTTTTTAATGTCACGAATGAATTCCGTTGCGCTCGGTGCTGTTAACGAGGAAGCACACGCACGCTATCGCTCGGACACTTCATTAAAATTGCTTTGTTACGTCGCTGTCTCTCCGACGATTATCTAACATTTGTCTCCTTTTCGGACTGCACTCTCGTTCGATCGCATCGCTCCGACGAGTGACTCTGTCTCGTCGCGTGGCCGCCACGGGCGATCACGAGAAAAGCATCGGCTCGTTTCGTTCGATCAAGTATCAAGATATCTTTTTTTCACACAGAATACCGCATCGATACCACCATGAATAATAGCTACGATGTGAAATCCAGCGACGACGTCACGACGGTGCCGCATCAGCGCATGCATGAGTCGGAGACCAGGAAGGCGACCGAGAACACGTCTCTGTCTCCCAACAATAATCAGACCTACTTCGCCGATGAAAGGGTACAGGTGCCAGAAACAGGACGTGTAAGTTGGTCTTTCCGTTGATCTATCCCGCGTATGATTCCAAGTGAGACAGTAAGAATATGGGACAATGAGAACACGAGACAGAGATAAGAAACATGAGCTTTCTTCCAGTCAAACACTTGTAAACTTGATATAATCGTTCTTGCATTCTCCTCTGCGACTTGATATAAACTTGCAACAATTTTTTCCCTCGTAGACGGGATTTAGCTTTAGAAAACTATGGGCCTTCACAGGACCTGGTTTCTTGATGTCCATAGCTTATTTGGATCCTGGCAACATAGAGTCGGATCTGCAATCCGGAGTGGCAGCAAGATACAAGGTACATCTATGATCTATATTTGGATTAGTAGAAGAAAACTATCGCTTTCGTTGCTACTATCGACTATTTTATTTACTTTATTTTACTTCGAGCAAGTTTTTCGATCTTTTCGTTGTTGAATGATGTTTCCTTGTTGACGTCTTCGCTTTCAGTTATTATGGGTACTACTAAGCGCTACTATCCTAGGTCTCGTTATGCAAAGATTGAGCGCACGCCTCGGCGTGGTAACCGGTCTACATTTGGCGGAGATGTGTTACAGACAGTATAAAAAAGTACCTAGACTTATTTTATGGATAATGATTGAAATAGCAATTATTGGTAGTGATATGCAAGAGGTAATAGGAACGGCTATTGCCCTTTACCTCTTATCTAATAAAGCGTAAGTGCTCGATACGATTGATAAATATTTACTCTTCTTACATACGCGTGAGCTACGTAGAAAACATTTCTCGAAATATCTGGAATTCATTTGACGCGTTCCCAGTTCGTTTTTATTAATTCCTCCAAGTGTATGTGTGTGGAACGCATACTTAATCTCTAATCAAGAATTTTGAATTGAAAATCATTCTAGTTATACAAAATGAGGGAATTAATTAACGCTTTAAATAATGATTTGAAATCCAATGATTTGAAACGTCCAAAAACAAAAATGGATTATAATCCGCATGTACATATGTTTACAAATTATGTTTACCTATGTTGCAAATATTTATTATTTTTTTCTAATTATCTTGAGTTATTCTTTTTTTGTTTATAAATGTATCACGAATGTAAATATACGGAAAGTTTGTGACAATGAAACAATAATTTCTCAGCAAACGACGATGTGACGTGATAATTAATAATATTCTCTCGTTACGTTACAGAATTCCTATATGGGGTGGCGTACTTATTACGGTAATTGATACTTTCACATTTTTATTTCTGGATAAATACGGCTTGAGAAAGTTAGAATTGTTTTTTGGTTTTCTTATCACGGTCATGGCTATCACCTTTGGTTACGAGGTACATTTATTTATTTTAAAATTACTTTATCGGTTTTGCCTCGCTTCGTAAATGTCTAACGCTATGTTCTTGACTTTTTAGTACATTGTTTCCGCACCTTCTCAAATAGATGTTATAAGCGGTATGTTTGTCCCATGGTACAATGGAATGAATTACGATAACAAGGTGCTACTTCAAGCTGTAGGAATCGTTGGTGCAGTCATTATGCCGCATAATTTGTATCTTCATAGTGCTTTGGTCAAAGTGAGAGCAAAGTTGATGACGATATGTTGTATATTAATTAATTTTTCGAGATATGTTAATAGTACATGAAATATTGTTTTCTAGTCCAGGGACATCGATCGAAGACAGCCTTCGAAGATCAAAGATGCTAATATGTATTATTTCATTGAAGCCTGTATCGCGCTATTCGTTTCGTTTATAATCAACGTATTTGTTGTGGCTGTATTCGCTCACGGCCTCTACGATAAAACAAACAACGATGTTGTAAGTACAAATATAATTATTAAAAATGAATAATTATAAACAATTTTGGATAATCAGTTGAATCGATTTCTATTTTATTCCACAGCGTAAGATTTGTGAAGCAAATAATTATACTCTGGGTATGGAGACATTTGATGTAAGTTTTTTTTTAGGTTCTTTTACATTCAATTCTGACTTCAGTGAGAAAATATTTTCTCGCCAATCGTTTTCTTTCCTCAAATTTATTCTTTCTTTTAAATTTTAGAAAAATAATGCGACATTGGATGCTGATCTTTACAAGGGAGGAATCTTCCTCGGTTGCTCTTTCGGCGCAGCTGCGATGTACATATGGGCCGTTGGCATTTTAGCTGCCGGTCAATCGTCTACGATGACGGGCACTTATGCTGGTCAATTTGCGATGGAAGGTTTCTTAAATCTGCAATGGGCACGGTGGAAACGAGTCCTTTTCACTCGAACAATCGCCATAGTTCCTACATTCTTAGTAGCGTTCTATGCTGACATGAACAATTTGAGCGGCATGAACGACATTCTGAATGCAATAATGAGTTTACAATTACCGTTCGCCACGCTGCCAACAATTGCCTTTACGAGTAGCGTTCAGATCATGGGTGAATTCCGAAACGGAATGTACGTTACTTTGTTTTTCTCCGTTAGAAATTTTTTTCAATAATGGAAACATTATTTTCTATTTTTTATCTTTATATTAAATTATTTATGTTACAGACTAAATAAGATCGTATCGACTGCCCTGTCGGTTCTGGTAATAACAATAAACATATATTTCGTGATACAAACTGTCCAAGAAGATCTACCTCATCATTGGGCCATATACTTCGGCATGTCTGTATACGCGATTTTATATCTTATTTTCTGTGCTTATTTGGCTATCCATATGGCTGTGAGCATGGGTGCGACTTCTCTCAGTAACAATTGGGTATGTACATTTTCACCTATAATATGTATATATGTTGTACGTATGCCATTTGTTCCGATATTAAATCAGTTTCATGGCTTAGCCATTATCTATATTATTTGCTTATTCTCTATTTCAGTTTGTTACTAAGTACATTGGTACACCTGTGAGTCCGACGCTCGGTATAACGAATCCTGCTGTTTATGCCAGGTAAGAGAAAATTTTAGTTATACTCATTTATCACAATTGTGACTAAATGCAATAATTTCGCCAAATAACACTAATCATTTGTGTTTGTCCTTGTAGCGAAATATTTTGATCGGGAGATCAAAATATCATAACTACTATATATTGCGTGTATTATACTTATATATGAAATATTTGATACGCAAAATAAAGAAAATAATTATAAATTAATTATAATAAAAGAAAATAATCTTGCATGTAGAACTATTTGGTGGTGGTGGTGGTAGTGATGGTGGTAGTGGTGGTGGTTTGATTTTGTATATACAACTCCTTTGTTACGTGGTTCGGCGTGAATTGTGTAATAAAACTCCTTTACGAAATTTATACTACAAAATATATTTTACATGTATAAAACATATTTATATGCTGTTGCATTTGTGTCGAATTTATTTTGCTGTTGCGGAACATGCAATCGTATGATAAGCGCAATTGCAACAGATACATGAAATATTTTTCAATCAGTTTTTAATTAAACTTAGAAACGCTTAAACGCTTAAAGCTATTTGAAAGATAAAAATTGAAATGAAAAGCGAAGTAGACTGCTTGAAGATATTTTAAATAACAATGATGCTTAGCTAAAAAATGTCTCAAAGATGTTTTTAATAATTTTTGAGATTAATAACTGGAGGAGTAATATGTGAGGAATGTGAATGTGGGGATGTAACATTTGCTGCATAATGTAATTTTGTATGCCATACTAAGATAACTATTAAGATGGATAACTATTAAGAACGAGTGAGTTAATTCGTCCTTAATTCATCATGCTTATGTACATCTCACGCTGTAAAAAAGAAAAAATTTACTTCCTGTTATCTACTAATAATAGAACGCATTTGAATGTTCACATCTGAAACATGCAAATGAATTCTGACGTAGTATGTTAAGTATCCTTTTAGGGATTTTTATCATATTACTTGAGAGATTTCTATGTATTTTTTATTATTAATTTTGTTATTAATTTATTATTAATGTATTAATTATATTAAAGAAGGCTATAATCATGGCATGCGCTTTAATTTTAATATTAAGCTGTATTTTTATTTTCACATAAAATTTTATCAACCTGTAAGAACATTTGTTTGCGACAATAATCTGAAAGTATTGCTTCTTTAAGACTTCTTGAATGTAACCTATCATTAATTAGTATTCTTTTAATCTTTATAAATAATTTTTAAGTGGGGATAAATATATATAGTTATGAAATAACGTAAGTAAGCTAGTCTTATATATGCTCATGATACAGACAGAGTTCTCTTCATTCATAGTTTTCACAATACGTCGGAAACTTCGTTAAACACTTAGTCGGAATAACGCAGTTGAATACGTGAGACAATATGCGACGCTTGCATTCCACAAACAATGTGAAAACAATGTTGCGTTGGAAAGGTGCTTATAACATCTCGTGATGTCAGCATGATGTCCCATGGTATGTGTACTATCACTGAAAGATATATATTATAATAAATAAATATATGGTGCTTTTTATAAAGTACGCTTTGTCATCGTTATTGAATGATAAGTCTGCTGTACGCCGGAATGTCGTTGCGCCTACCTTGTCATCAGTTCTCTTCATTATCCGTTTCTTGTGTCTTTCTAAAAATAAATTTATGTATAACGAGTGATTAACCAAAACTATTTTCGTTGCATGCACATTTTTAACAAACGAAAGTTTGAAAATGAAAGGCTGAGTTGTCGAAGGTAAGAATAGAATACGTCAAAGTTCATACCGTTGCCTCGATTTGATTAGATATGATTCAAAAAATGCGGACAATATCTTTAAAGTATTTTAAATGTTGAATATATTGCAGAACAAATCCAGCATTTTCTATTCAAGAAAATTTGAGCGGCAGTTTTTCATCTATATCAGAATGGTAATACAACTATATTAATTAGTATTGGATATGTATAAGCGATATATTGCGATGGAAACGAGAAAAAGAGTAAAATTGAAAACGGACAATTGGATAAAAGGTAATGTTCAGTCACGGCCTGATGCCGTTGTTAACATTTTATTAAAAAATTTTATTAAAAAATCGTTAACATAATGTATTTTAAATTTTTTATTATATAAAGGCGAAGATATTAGATGATTTTGAACATTAATTAATGCATATTGATGAAAAATTATCTTGATGTAATCAATCTTTCCTTCATTTAAGTATAAAGTTGTTATAATAATGCATTTTTTTCAAACATTGTTGACAGATTTGTAATATTTAAATTTGTTTTGTATATTTATATATATATATATATATATATATATACACTATTACGTGCTTGAACATTTGTATTAAATAATTTTTATACAAACTTTATGCATAATTAATGTAAATTAATGTAACAAAATAATGTAAATACTAATTCGGAGGAATTAATTTTTATTAGTCTGCATATAAAACAGTAATGTGTGCAATCTTTTGCATAGCAGCAGATAAAAATTTCTTCGTCGATCATATATTATTTACACTGTTTATATGTTTACATTATCACAAAAATATTCCTAAATGTGTGTTATGACGCACATGTTTTCTCTTTTCTTATTTATAAGTACTGTAAAGTAAGTCGAGACACGCACTTAGTTGCAAAACTAAGTTGCAAGATACTTAATTTTAAAGCAGGAACATATTTCGCATATTTTTAATTCGTAGCCCGCAAATGTATATTCGCATATTTGTAAAATTCTAATTAATATTATATATAAAGATTAGAAAAAGGTATATTCTTATATAAAAATAGTGCATTGTAACTTGAATTATCATCGTTATCGTTTGTAATGCGTTTGATTACTAAGACAGAATGTTTGCAAATAAAATTTGATTACAGGCAGTATTCCGCATTGGCTCTATTTCTTTTTCCGAAGTTACCGTTATATTGTACGAAAAAGTTCGCGAAAGGTTCAAAACCCGATATGTCATGACTAGACATAATCATTGTGATATCACACAATTAATTATATCATACAATTAACTATAACAATATTTAAGTTGTAGAGCTATATTTTATGGAAAATGTTTTTGTTTAAACATTTTTGTTTCTTGCAAAATTTATTTATCGCATATTTTGCATCATTCATTTTATATTGATCATTTCATCTTTGTTGAACATTTATTGCAATTTCTAAGTTTGACGGTATAAAGCATTACTATAAATAATAATACGTAATATTTTATAAAAAGTACCCGATTATTTATCTCTTTCGCGATAGTCATAAAATAAAACATTTCTAAAATTTCAATATCAGTTTGTCTATTCGAATTTGTTAAAATAGTAATATATAGCACACGCGCCTACACACACATACACACACGAGAGAGAGAGAGAGAGAGAGAGAGAGAGAGATACACACACACACACACACACACACACACACACACACACACTATTATTAT